TGTGTGTGTGTGTGTGTGTGTGGACAGGTGCACTTTCAGCGGGGATGGGACTCTTGACCATCGAGGCCTATGTGTATATGTGTCCATCACGGACAAGGTATTCAGCTAGGAGATAAACTTCAGTGGTCCATCACCATCCTTTACATCATTTTTGTAGAATTGTATGCTATTCATCAGTTGTGTGTATGTAACTACTGGTGTAGTAGGCCCTGTTATTGATAAGCAAACGTGGCTTTGACAGCCTCAGATCAATTCACACGAATTAGGTCAAAAACTAATGATACAATTATTCCACATACTACAGACAAAGATCAAAATAATATTAATTTATTGATCTATTGGCATATACCACACAATATAGGCCATGCACAGACACCCCTCCCAGCACACACACACACACAGGATGTTGGAAACTGCTAGTTATCAGATCATGTTACCACTTACCTGTAGTCCAGTAGGGCAGAAATAGTACCATGCCACCTGCCGCCTGGATCCTGTTGCATTTCCAATCACTTAAAGAGGGCCTGATTAATTCAATTATTCAGTCATCCATTTTCATGGATTAGCAGGATAGGGCATGTTTGGTTTGTTATCAGCCCTGGCCGTCCAGAGATAATGTATGTTGCTGATGAAAGAGGGGGAGTAAAGGTCCTTGTTTTTTACTTCCAAAACCCAAATCGGGGAACTCGGCTCATCAGTGTAGATTTAGACGTTTTCTTAAAGCGCTTTTTCTCTGTTTCTCATGGTCCTGTCTTGACATCAAATCAAGTCAAATGTCTGAAGCTTTGTTACTCTGAATATAACTTGCAGTAGTAACAATATCCAGTGTATTAATGCAGTGTTTTTGACACCAAAATCAACATCAGCAAAGACACGCAAGTCGCTTCCTGTTTAGTTCCTAATTTAAAACCCAACTCCTAAACAAATAGTACTTGGCATATCTCTCTCCTCTTCCCACTTACATCTGCCTTCACCTGTTCGCCTGCTGTACTTGCACCTGCTCCTGTCTTGGGTTGAATGTTTGTGTATGAAAAGGGGAGATATTATGTATGGTGAACTTTTCAGGCTTGTTCACCAGCTCATATTTCTTTACTCTCTGCATCAGACTCCACCATTATCAAATGATCATGAGAAAACGGCGGTTCTGTGTTTTTGTTTTTCTTTCTAGTAGCTGTGAATGTGAATATAGCAGTCTTTGCTATGTGTTGCTTCTAAGGTTAGCATGAGGAACTGGGGGGGGTGAAAAACATAGGGCAAAATGTTGCCCTCCTCTGTGGCTTTTGTTCCTCTGTGTCTTTGTAGGGCTTGCACTTGCTCAGTGGAGCAAAGCATTTAAGTGGGCCACAAGGGAGTGCCTGAATTGTGAGGCAGGAGGTGTGTTGTGTGTGTGTATTTGTGGAGGGGGTTGGGGTGAGGCAACAAGACTGTGTTGTGATGCAGGGGCACTTTTCCTCGATTAGGTGGGCTCAGTTGGGCACATGTACTTCAGCTTTCAAATTGCAATGTGGAACATGAGTCTACATTCCCAGCTCTCCTCAGGTCCTTTTTTTTGGAGCAATGGGAAATACAGTAGTAAGCTGAAGGCTCAAGTTTAACTGTGCAGAATGACATCTTTATATCTTTGGTAGTTTCCAATCATTGCCTGTCACACCTTAAGATAAAGGAGCTGCTGGCCATGTTTAACCTTTTTCTGAATTGTCCTAATTACCAGCATCTTTACAAAATCCCAGACTATAAACATATGCCTCTCTTGACGGTAGTTCTTTTTTCCACCAGCCAGACCACAGCCCGTCTATCAGCAGACTGCTTACGTGTCTGACAGTGATAGTATATGCATACATCCCCCTTCCCCGGTGTTCAAAATAGTCATGCTGAAAGCAGATGGCTTCGCGTTAATGAATCTCAGTTCGCCTGGATGTTTAAAAAAATACCTGATTTTTTTATTTCACTGACACTCGACTTTTCCAGCACACCAGGTAAGACTGACTCAGCTTTCTAATCCCAACATTGAGGTTCGTCACCCCAGCACAAATAAAGTGATAATCACTAGAAAAGGGGCCAGTATGACACTGAAGATAAAGGGAAGGCTTGTCCCCGGAGAGAGTCAAAGCTGTTTGGAGACCCAGCTTAATTAACCAAGAGAGGCTTGTTCATGGAAACTGTGATGGGGAGGAGGTGGCCCTTCCCTGGAAGGAATGAGTGATGTTAGCTGTACTATTATTAACTCACAAACACAGGTTCACCAACTGTCTCTCCTCTCCCTTTCTCCTTATCTTGAAAATAGATCACTTTCCCCTTAGTTAGCGAGCACTGTAGACAAGGTCTCTCATGCACACTACAGCTCTTTTATTAGTAATAATGATTATTTCTGCTCGACACATCAAAAAAATCAGATAGCTTGCATCTTGTTCTCAGTACCTTTTAATCTCAAGTAACATTAAACCTGTAAAACTGCAGGACTGACAGAGCAACAAAAGGCAACATCTATTTGGAGTTTGTTAAATATTAACTTGTTTTATGGCTGTGAACATGGAGACAAGTCCATGTGTCACTGATGCATGAGGCTTTTAGTACATTGAGTCACGAGTCAAGGCAGGAACAGGTGCTTGGGTAGAATTGCTCGAGAGCAGATTTAGTTTGGTCTGTGATGAAACCTCATGTTCACTGTTATGCCTTGATTAGTATCTCAGTCAAGCATATTTTATGCCCTGGTGATACTGAATCAGGAGGATAAATATTGGATGTATTTTCCTCTATACCAGGCTTTTGTTTAGGTTTTATGGATAAATGTGTCTGGTATTTCATGCAACAATATGTTTTGGATACATGCAAAGGATAAGATCTATATTGGGATACGTTACCTGAGGTTCATGGCACTGATTTGTAGAGAGGATAAAAAAGTAATCTATGTGTTGTTCTTTTTCTATTATCAACTCAACTTAAAAACAACAAAAACAATACAAGTATTTTGTAGAGCATTTAGCAAATTTCCCCTTTGTTTAATTTAATTATTAATCTTTTACACACGGGCGTTGGCTCAATGATGCATTAAGATGATAATGTTGCTTGAGTTGTAAAGTTGCCGTACCAGTTAGACCAGCAGGTTCGGGCTGAGTGCTCTTTTCTTTCACTTATTGTCGCTCTAATGTATCTACAACAAGAGTGTGTATTCTCTGTCTTATTTAGGCGCCATGCAGACCCCTGAAGCAGGCGCTGACTCCACCTCCACTGTCCCTCTTCAGACCACCGTGCCTGTCCAGCCTACCGGCTCCACCCAGCAGGTGCCTGTCCAGCAACAGGTACATCCAGCCTGTCTGCGTGTGTGTGCATTTGTGTCTGAATCTGTCTGCACAAGTGTGCATACCTGCATTCATGCACGTCTGCATGTGATTTTTAGTATAAACTAAACCATTGATTTGCAACTGCTGCAATTTGTGTTGCCAGGCCCAGACTGTTCAACAGGTTCAGCATGTTTACCCAGCACAGGTGCAGTATGTGGAGGAAAACAGTGGCGTCTACACCAACGGCAACATGTGAGTCACTCTGCTACTCAGCTCTGCTCTTACACCACTCAACAAATATTAGCGCTACGTCTCCGCAGCCTGTTCTTTCTCCTCTTAAGTCTCTTCACACCATCATTCATGTCACAAGCACATGATGTCAGTGGGAGGGCGTTGGGTCTTTTCGAGTTTGTTTTCTTTTCTGAGCGGTCTGCAGTCGTGCGTTTGATTGTGCTCAGTCACCTGAACATGACGAGAAGTAGGCCTGTCCTCTAAGTGCTGACGCTACGTGAGGGTCCCCTGGGTCTGGGGAACAGGGGTTACATACACACTCCACTAATAAGTCCAAGCTGTGTTTGTCGTACTGTGATTCACTTGGACACACACACACACATACAGAAACAAACACACTGTAGCTGTCTGACCTCAGCTACTGGTGGAAATTCTTCCAATACTAAATCATACACCAAACAACTAGACACATTGTAAAAACATATTGTGAAAGTTATATTTAAAGACATTTTAGATTGCCCTCAGTATGATAATTACTGTTCACAGTATTTTATTTTAGCCTAGTGCAAAAACCATGAAGAGCTTAAGTGTAATGTAATTTTTTTACCATCTACCAGGTGACTCACATAATAAAGAAATCATACTTGAACTAAAAAATTACAATTTAACATAACTAATTAAAGGTTCTTCAGTTATTTTCTCTCAGTTTTATTTTCAGTTCGGGGCGCACTGCCTCATTGACTGACTGCTAACCTCTCCTCTGTACAGAAGAACCTACTCGTACTCGGAGCCGCAGCTGTATAGCCAGAACAGTGGAGGGACCTACTTCGACACGCAGGGCAGCTCGTCACAAGTGTCCACTGTGGTGACATCTCATGGCATGACCAACAACGGAGGAGGGGGCAGTGGAGGAATGAGCATGGGTCTGGCGGGGGGTCAGGTAATCAGCAGCAGTTCGGGGGCGTACCTCATGGACAACACTGGACCGCACCCTGCCACCCAGACCGCACGAGCTTCCCCGGCGACTGTAAGTGCATAACGCCCACTAACTGGGTTCCTCGACTGCCCGCTGTTGTGTGTCGATCGTACATCTGACTAGTATGTAGTCTCATCCAAATCTTCCCTGTTTCGATCCACACAGCTTTTAGTTTGCTTACACTCTTCCAGTTAGAGTAGATGCTCTGCCTCTGCAATAATCCCTGCACTGATTTGATTCAAAATGTAGGATGTCAACTCTCCCAAGTAGAGTGTTTGTGTTTTTAAAGTTTCAGTGCACATGTATTATGTTACATTATAGAGAGAGAACTTTTGTGTTCACCTCCTCCATGAATTTGTATATCTCTGGCGATGATCCTTGCTGATGCATGCGATGAACTGCGTAGGCTGCCCCTGAGTCTCTGTAGTGATACAACTACTGTCAGTTTCCATCCCTCATTTCATCTGCTGGTTCATTACCACTCTTTGGTTAAGAGGAAGAAGGGAGGGGCTAAAACCTGAGAGACAGGTGTATTGAGGAAGGGGGGAGAAACACAGTGCCACAGATTCTCCCACTCCTCATGAGAGTTGTGTATTGGTCAAAATCGTTGCTCTGTAGCTGTAATCTGAGCGGCCCATTGAGCATTTTATGTAGTCCACTGTAATGGTGCCTTCTGGCAGAATTGTTGTAATGATGTGTTAACTGACATTACATGTGGATGAATATGATGTGGATGTCGGTGGAGGTGTTGTTTTTTTTTTATGTCCAAGAAATGTTTGCAGGGTTGCAGGTGCATTTTAAACGCTTCAGAAGAATGCTTCTAAGTGATGTGCTGGTTGAATAGATGAATTGGTCCAGCAGTATGATTTTTCTGTTAATACAAGTAAATAGCAAGTAGAAGACTTGTTTGAAATCATTAATCCTTTGGTAGAAAATGAGCTAAACACTGAGACATCATGCTGCCAACAGGAAATATATCATGCTTCTTTTAAGCTAACAATCCTGAAGTGAATTGAATTGAATTTATTATTTCTCAAATACTTAATATCTCGCTTTGCAAGTACTATGATGACCAAAGTCATGCACATATAGCCACATCACAGAATTTCTAATAGCAGTCTATTACTGGACTATCGATTCATCTTTTGTTTTTATAATAGAGTCTCTGTATGTAATGATTGTGATAAGTGGATCTATACTAGTGGAATCTAGAGTGTTGCGTCTGAATTGTCCACACTGATATACTCATCCTGTAAAGTGTCTGTTCATGTTATATGGACCAGGCAAAGATTTTCCTGAAATGGCAGGTAGTCCTGCTCCGCTTGGGTTTAGTGGTGCTTGCTTTGGAATCTTTCCTAAATATTATTTTTTGCTAGTAGCCACTAATGTGTTACCTTCAACTATTTATTTTTCTTGCTTTTGTTTGTTTATTTATTTATTTTATTTCCCTCCTCTTACATTTTGTTGTCCTGTGCTTCGTGGTTTATCAGATTGAAATGGCGATTGAGACGCTCCAAAAATCTGAAGGTTTATCCAGTCAGAGAAGCTCGCTGCTCAACAGCCATGTAAGTTGCTTTTTATGAATGCTTGCCCTCGTTTTACCTTGACTTCTGCTGAACTCTACTCTCTTGCCATTCTATCTCTCTCTACTCTGTACATTTGAGTTTGGTGTGGTGCTTTCATGTTGCTTCTTTTACTTGTTATTGTTGCTTTAAATTCCCTGGCTGCATTAGAGATGCTTTTGCAGAGCTGCAACATGGCAGTTCACTGACTGTCGGCCTGAAGCCTTTCCAGACAGTTAGTGTGGACCAGTGTGAATCTCTTGAGTAAGCATCATGTGTTCCCTTGTAGCTCCAGTGGCTGTTGGACAATTATGAGACAGCAGAGGGCGTAAGTCTACCACGATCCACCCTCTACAATCATTACCTAAGGCACTGCCAGGAGCAGAAACTGGACCCTGTGAATGCAGCCTCGTTTGGCAAACTTATCCGCTCCATCTTCATGGGACTCCGTACAAGGCGCCTTGGGACAAGGTTTGCTTTTTCTAGCTTCTCTCCCTCTCCTTAAAACTGTTTTACATCCATAAGAACTTCTCACCCCACTCTGTCAACATGTGCTCACTTTTGTTTTTTGTTTTGCAGAGGCAACTCCAAATATCATTACTATGGTATACGTGTAAAACCAGACTCCCCACTCAATAGACTCCAAGAGGACATGCAGTATATGGCTCTCAGACAGCAGCCTGTTCAGCAGAAACAGAGGTACACAGGCAGCCAGACATGCATTCAGATATGCATTCAGATATGCATTCAGATATGGGATACTTATCTTACTTATGCTGAGTTGACCCTGTGGTTTCAGGTTCAAGCCGGTGCAGAAGTTTGACAGCGGCGCTGGGGAGAATTACTCAGGTGGAGGCCAGAACCAGCCTGGTGCAGCGGAGCAGACAGTCATTGCGCAGAGCCAGCACCACCAGCAGTTCCTAGGTTATCAGCTTTTCCCTTTATCTGAATGTCTGTGAAACAGAAAACATTTTCGAAATGCATTGATTTCTGGTTAATGTTTGTCCGATTATTACATATTTTTCAACTCATAACATTTTTCATCACCCCAACAGATGCATCACGGGCCCTCCCTGACTTTGTCGAGCTGGACTTGGGACAGAGCAATACAGAGAACATCAGTCCAGAGGATGTGAAAGCTCTCCAGTCCCTTTACAGAGAGCACTGTGAGGTTAGATAAAGGGCATGCTTTTCATTTTCACCACAAAGTCACCGTAGCACACATATACTATTTCCATTCAATATTGCAGCATTCATTGAAACCATCCTTTTGATTGTACATTTCCCTATTGATCTGCCTGGACTAGCTGTATTTCACCAACACGTTAATCTATTGAACTTATTTTCTATTAAAAGTCTCACTCTCTCTGAGGGAAAAAGTCCATGTTTTACCTCATTGCTATCATCGCAGACATTTAGTAGTTTAATCTACTTGTATTACACGTAAACTTTGGCGGGATTCAGAGTGTGGACACTTTGGGAAAGGTCACTTGTGTTTACAGAGACAGAGATTTGTAAAATGCCATCCGCTGGCATTTAGGAACTGAGTTTCCTCTTCATCTATTGATGTTTTCAATCACAGCTCTTCTAATGTCTGCTAAACAATGACCAATGGAAAAAGAACATTCACTCTTTCCTCATGCACATCTAGAACTATTTTGAGATGTCCATGTGAGATTTCAGCCATGATGTAGGTGAATAGAATTTTATCTGAGCCCTTGAGAGCGCTGACAAAATACATCTTGAAAATGTCCTGGTTATTCTGTACAAACCGGACATCGTGCTATCAACAGGCACTATTTCTTCTCCTCTTAGACAGTAATTCTATTCTATTTAGTGCTTTTATTTATTCTCTGCTTTTGTTACAGGCTATCTTGGACGTGGTTGTCAACCTCCAGTTCAGTCTAATTGAGAAGCTGTGGCAGACATTCTGGCGTTACTCTCCCCCTGACTCGGTAGAGGGTGCCACTGTAACAGAAAACAGGTGATGAAGATTTACAATGATTTTCTTTTTTAGATGATGAATCATTTTCAAAAAATATAAATTTCAATGCAATTTATTTTAGGAATGAATTGATTTCAAAGGCATCTTTTAAAGTTTTGATGTGGTCGTTTCACAGCAGCATTAGTGAGATCGAAGCGCGGCTCCCCCAATCACAACTACTGGCACTGTGCAGAAACGAAACTGTACTCAAGTGGATGAGCACCTGTGACCACCTAATGTACCAGGCCCTTGTCGAGATCCTCATTCCTGATGTCCTGAGACCCATTCCCAGTGAGTCACAGTCACAGACACCTCTCATGTTCACCTGTTTGCTGTGCTGCTGATGGTGTTATAATGAACTTGCTGTTTTTGCCATGTTGTTTGGTTTCTCAGGTGCCTTGACTCAAGCCATTCGCAACTTTGCCAAAAGCCTGGAAGGTTGGCTCAATAATGCTATGAATGCCATTCCACAGAGAATGATCCAGACCAAGGTGCACTATAGCAGCATTCATAAGAGACTGCATTGATGAATAAGATAAAAACCCCTGTTCTAAATATACAACTTATACATGAGAGTAATTTAGTTTTGAAAGGTATGGGTGGTTTACTAGCTGTTGGTGACACCTGGGCCTTTTGTATCATTGTTTTCACAGATTGCCGCTGTTAGTGCCTTTGCGCAAACACTGCGCAGATACACATCTCTGAACCACCTGGCTCAGGCGGCACGTGCCGTGTTACAGAACACGTCACAAATCAACCAGATGCTGAGTGATCTCAACCGTGTTGACTTTGCCAACGTACAGGTCAGAAAAGTTCTTTGTGTTTGAATACTCAGCAGTTGTGCTTTTGTAATTTCAACAGTAAATCACTTCTCTCTTATCATGATGTCAAAAGAATATATGTATGTCTTACTTTTCCTTTCACTGGACACGTGTGAGCCTCCCGTTCTGTCTCTGTTGCTGTGTAGGAGCAGGCATCGTGGGTGTGCCAGTGTGAGGAAGGAGTGGTTCAGCACTTGGAGCAGGACTTCAAGGCCACACTACAGCAGCAAAGCTCTTTGGAGCAATGGGCAGCCTGGCTGGAAAATGTGGTCACTCAGGTGCTCAAGCCCTACGAGCACCGGCCTAGTTTTCCCAGGGCGGCTCGACAGTTCCTGCTCAAATGGTCCTTCTACAGGTCTGCAAAAAAACAAACAAACAGCCACACTGAGTCATGACTGTGTGTGTGCAACAGAACACTTAATGTTTTATTTAATGTCTGTGCAGTTCAATGGTGATCAGGGACCTGACCCTACGCAGTGCTGCCAGCTTTGGTTCCTTCCACCTGATTCGTCTGCTCTACGATGAGTACATGTTCTACTTAGTGGAGCATCGTGTGGCTCAAGCTACCGGAGAGACGCCCATCGGTGTCATGGGGGAGGTACAACTTTGTTACCACTCGTTTTGGTTTTCAGCTTCATAGTATTTTATAATGCCACTGAGAAACACTACAATATATGACAGATATAAATCAACCTCAAAGCAGTGTCTCATTTAGATACATTAAAGAAATACTATTTCTAATGGACCCACTAATTATGATTTTTGTCTGTTTTCAGTTCGACAGCCTCAACACCTTCTCCCTCAGTAACATCGATAAAGGTATGTGGCACAATATTTATGCTTAAGTGGAGATTTTGTTGTTGCCAACTGCAGTGGGCCTACTGAGAAATTATAGTTTGGTTTTATACTCAAACAACTTTGTGTTTCAGAAGTCATTTAGGTCAGTGATTGGCAAGCATTGCAAAATGTAGTTAATGAGCTAAGACTGATAATTTTGAAATGTGAAAACAAACATTGTCAAAAAATCTACTGTACCTGGTTTTATACATTTTGCACAGCCTGAAATCACATCACACAAAATTGAAGTATTTGTATACTATGTTTTTGATGAAACACCAGGGAATGCATCAACTAATCATCTTATGAAGAGAGTCCAAGATCTTAGCAAAATCCTTTTAAAAGAAATGTATGATTCCTTTTCATGAGCAGAATATGAAATTGGGACAGCAGCTTTGAATATCAATGAATCCTTGAGGCTTGTTAATGTGGTAAAACTTAAATAATGTAAATAAATTAAACGACCAATTTGAATTTGTACAATTGTTTTTTTTTAAATGTGTTGCTCTTTCTTGTCCAGATGAACATAGTGGGATGGACAGTGACTTGGAAGAGGACACGGAGGAGTCCGGGGAACCTCTCGCCAAGCGGGAGAAGTCGGAGCACGACGTGATCCAGGTGATCCAGGTCGGGGCGCTAGAGGACGGGTCCCACCCTGTTGTGGGTGTCGTCCAGCCAGGTGTCCTCCACTCGCTGCCCCAGCCCCCGCAGGATCACACGGAGCACATCCTCACCCCCTCAGCTGGTACTCCTAACATCCGCCACTGCAGCACCACAGGCAACACCTACGCCTCTGTTTGAGGGTCAGAGGGCAAGGCCAACCGTGTCCGGCCTATTTACGCTGTTTCATTCTCTCCACATATCTTTCTCTCTGTAAGTCTTGATGTTTCTGTCTCTTTCATGCATTGTCTCCGTCTGTACCTGAATGGACATGCTCTCCTCTCCGGCCTGGTCAGTGGAGGAGTGCTGATGGCTGACACTCTGGCCAAGTTGTGCTGTCCGTGTCTGACTGCTTAGATTCTGGATATTCTGCCATCCCATAAGTCTGTGCTCTACCCTAACGCAGCAGCTGGTGGAAGGGACCTGGAAGAAAAGGACTAATTTGACCCGTTAAAACATTTCCTGGTTATTCATGACTTAACAACAAACCGGTCTGTGTGTACAGACAAGCATATGCTTGAAGGAAAATTACATTGCTTCATACTACTCATGTCTCAGAGCTCAAATCCACGTCACCAGTCCCAGTGGAGCAAAGTCATCGATTGACTCAAGACCTTCATCTATTGTACATAGATCTGCTGTACTTTCAATTGGTATTACCCAAACCTCATGGTGCTATCATTGTGCTTTGCTTTAACTTCCCGTTATCCCTCCTAATTTTAGTATGATTTACATTCCAACTGCTGACTAACTTTTGGCTGAACAAAATGTTTGAGTGTTGTTTGTAGCTAAAAACAAAGGGATGACTTTCTATGTGTGTATGACATTTTAAAAAAGGATCAATGGGCAATTTTGTTATTTTTGGTTTGAAAATAATTTGGTAGCCACCCACCGATAACCACTTATAGCTTTTAGCCACAGAGAAAGAACCCCCCCCTAAAGAAATGTCTGTGCTGCTATTCATGTGTATAGAGATTGAGAATATCGGCTGTACAAAAACCGTTTCTTCAAAGCTAGCTTTTCTATGCACTCCGTGCATAACGCTTGCCTTTGTCCGTTTTAGATGCTCTGTAGTGTGGTTGATGAAGCTGTAATCTTGAAAACAACTTACTAGACACATTCCCCTGTTTCTTTTTTTTCCGTTTTTGTCTTGAAGAAATTTCTTAAGTTCACAGAGGACCAAAAACCAAACCAACAAGAGGAAGCTGGGAGTGAGCCCTCAGCGGCCACCCGAGAGCCGTTTCCTGTCCCCACAGTGCCATGTTGCAGAGCAGAAGGAATGTCAGGGATTAAATGTACCTCGGCTTTATCATAGTGCCTTATCTTTAAATGCAGCTGTCCTTGTTGTCCTGACTGTGCGGTGTCGAGAGCCCGCAGCCCCTCTGCATTGTCCCAGCCACACCTTTTGGCTTTCTGGTGACTTGTGGCTGGATTTGGGCAGGGTCATCAGTGTTGAGACCAAGGAACACAGGCACAGACACATCTGTTTTCTCTGGATCAGCTCTACTAAGCTTAGTACGTATCTGAATCACAGTCTTTAGCCTTGCTCCTGCCCTAACTCTGCCCTCTTGAGGCCTATTCTTGCATTAGCCTTCGTTACTGGGTGAAGTGCGTGTGAGTGTGTATATACATGGATGCGTAGGTCTGCACTGTGTTTGTATATGTATATAGATATGCCTATGTCTGCGTGCTTGTGTGTGTGTGTGTGTGTGTGTGTGTGTTGGAACACATCCATCAGTCACCCTACCTCAAACCAGTGGTGCCAGCCCTTTTGACGCGTGCAGAACAGTCACCAAACACTTATTGCACACACACCTCTGTACTGCACAAATCTCAACGCGATAGAGAAAATCTGCATTGCTTTTCTCTCACCTCTGACACATTGTGATTTCAGTTCTCAGCCCATAAAAATGCTTCATCCTTTGTTCCCTGTTTGAAGATCATCTTTGTACAGTGGACAAAAAGTAGATATTTTCTGATATTCAAAGAGATATATAGATATATATGTATAGTATATAAAATGACGACACACTACAGATATTTGTTTGCTTTTTATGTGGTTGATCGGATTGTTTCTACGTGACTGTGCTTCTTTCGGTAGCTCCTGTAATTAGTTTATAGACTCAAATGGGAAAGGCATGGGTACTAACTTTTTCTTCATTAGACTACATCTATACTTGAACTGTTACAGCCTTCTATGTTGTGGAGAATATTGAGATTAATCCTCTAAATAGGAACTGTTTTGCTACTAAATTCATTTTTTCCCCATGCCTGTTGAAATGGCCTGCACCGCTTCTCTGCGGATTCTTTTTTTATTTATTGATATTTATTGTGTTTTTGTTTTAATATGTTATAATGGGGACTTATACCACTGCAAAGAGCAGACCTACTGTACAGAAGGAACAGAAGGTTTGTTCCTGTTGTTTTGTTTTAGTTTCCCCTCGTAAGTCATGTATGTAGGTTGATGAAGGATTATGAAGAAGGGTTGGCACTGTTATTTGTTGTAATCAGTCTTTTAGGATCTCTACTCCAAAAATTTCTTCAGAAACGATCATGACACAGGATCTTTGCCCTTTTTGTCTAAATCTAGATTGTGTGCCTGTGTAGAAAACATGTAAAGGAGGGTGGGGATGTGCAGATATTGCATCTAGGTCTTACTCTGTAAGTTACGACTGAGTATTAGGGCCTCTGAAAGGGAAAAAAACCTGAGATTTCAAGAGTAAAGTAGTGAATTTAACAGAATAATTTAGGCTGCATGAGGGGAAATATCAAAGGATCAGCCTGTTGCCTGGATAATGGAAATGTGGTCGACTGTAAATCTTTGATGTGATATATGTGTGATGTGATTTTCAAAGAGGTGCCCTAGATTCTCGAGAAACTATGATTGGTTCAGGAGTTAATATCAAGGATCGAGCACAGGTTCTCCTTGCTGCTTATTTCTGAAAAATCATTTCTTTATTCACTTGAATTGTCACCTTTTTTTTTTTTCCGAAATCTCAGGTTTTCTCTTCTTCAACATGGCCCTAATGCTGCTGTTGTACAGACACATTCCATATTTATTAAACCCACACATCTCATACTGTAGCCTTACCCTGATCCTATTGGCTTGAAATGTCTGGCACACCAGATCTAGGAACCGAGCGCACACACAATACAGTCTTTCTCATCACATCCCTTAAGGACGGGTTTGAAAAGTCTGAGAGAAAAGGTCAGTGAACCATAAAGTAGCTGGGAGTTGGAGGCCCGGGGTATTTTGTTTACATCAGACTGCGGCCACAGCGACCTTGTATGAGCGATGGCTTCCTGACTCTTGCTATTTAAGTCAGGGAGAACACAAGGTGAACGGACACGTAAACATAAACCCCCTAGATCGACTTGTTCTTTCTCCAGAGCCTCACCATAAATCTGTGCTCACATAATAAACTAACCCCACATGACTCGCTGAATTTATTTGAAAATGCGATTGTAAAAAAAAAAAAAGTGACGTTCTGTTCTGTGACTGAAATTTTTGAAGTATGCTGTAAACCTGGGTAGTGTGTACTGGTTAGGAATGGAGGTTTTGCAGGATATATTATCTTGCCTCTAATTGAATGATTTTTTAAAAAGAGTCTCACCTCTGTTATCATGAATTAACTACAACACTGTAGATGTATTTTTTTGTGCCTGAAGTGGAAATGGCTTAAAAAAAATGTGTTTCTTTGAATCTTAAATTGTGTGCTTTAGGATCATAAGTGCTTTCTGGTCTGGCACGGCTACCATGTGCTGCTAGAAACCGTTTGTTTTGTTTCGTTAAACTTTTATCCCTGTTTATTTTTCACACATAGACTGATGTGCCACACAGTGATTTTTAGCTTTCTGCATCTCAAAGCCTGCCTGGTAAAACACTGGACTGATGATAATGCTGCCAACACAATTGTACTTTATTTCTCAGTGTCTTTGAAATTGAGAAGTAGGGTTGTTATTTTTGTGTGTGTGTGAGTGAGTGAATGAGTGTGTGCGCAAATGAGCCCGTTTTCAACCAGAGGAAAAAAGAAAAAAGAAAAACATAAGCTATGTCATAGGAGTTTTAGCTAAGAACTGACTCTTCATCTGGACAACATGGCAGCTTCACTGACCCATAGCAGACTCCAGTGCCTTTCCTTTTCGCCCCGGCCAGAGCAGATGGCCTGGGTGACTATTGGGTCTCTGGTGGGCTACAGATAGAGGCTTATCAGAGCGGACGTTTCCTTGCACAGGTGCTGCCATTGAGAAGACACCAGAGCTGAGGAAGACGGAAAGAAAAAAAGACCTGTCCTCAGATTTGGGACTGTCCATTAACTGGATGGGACTCACACCGAGTGGTTTACACGTGGTAGATGACCTGCAAACGGCTTTTTAATTGTATAGAACTGGTTAATGAACAAGGAGAGCCGCTGTAAAGTTAAAACCGCTCTCTCTTACGACTTGTTTTTCTCATGATCGTGATTTCTGTTGGGGTTTTTTTGTCAAATGATCTTTTCTGAATGCTGTGATCTGTTTGAGATTTGTATTTGGATGTTTTCAAGTGCCATTTGACAGTCCAGTGAGTCGTGGCCATCTGTAGCACGCTCTAATGCAAGCACAAGCATTTGGCAGTGGCATTTGGGGAAGGTTTTTATTTTCGATTCACCCTAGACAAAAATATGTATATATCAAAAACTGAAAAGGTATATTTATTTGTGTCCTAATTATTTGATTTGTTCTTTTGGTGAACATTTTATCGGATATGTTGGCTAAAGTGCTTTTTGTGATTTTCTTTTCCCTCTTTTTTTTGGGATAATGTATAGTATCTGATATAATATATACACACAAATTTCATGTGACTTTCTTTTCGTGCGCTGTTAAGTTTTCTTCATATCTTCTCAAATTTGGCGAGCAAAACCAATGCGTGTAGGGTGATTTGTATCGTGTATTTTGCATAAAAAACGAGGACAATTGGGGAACTTTTATATTTATAAAGATATTATCATTTAGTGTGTCGTATTGATGAATATAGAAACTATTAAAGACACATGTAGTTTGGTTTTCTGAATATTTCAGATCTCAGCTCAGGCTAGCTTCTTAGTGTTGTTTTCTTAAAATTTGTGACACGTCTTTGCAGTAATAAATGTTCTCTTGTTCAAAGTTGAGCGTCCTCTCTCCCTTTTGGCTCACACACACACACCAATCAAATGACTAAATCGTAGTGTTAGCCCATTCAATTTTATTCAACCATATTCATACAAGTAAACACCAATATCATTCAAACTCAGTTCAGAATGTTTTTTACGATGAGCACAAACTTGTATTTCCTGAAAATTGTACAGCATTCCTTTACTTTTTTTAAATTTTTAAATCATTTATATTTTGGCCAGAGTTCATCACTGTAACGGTAGCAAAAAAGTACAAAATACTGCAACAGCTGTAAACAGAGCTCCAAATACCAGAATATTGATTGAATATTGCAGAGCAAAAACTAAACTCATTCAGTTGATGATGAAACCGAGCTTTTAGATGCGACGTCAACACTGAAATGACGGCAGGCTGATAAACCGTTGCACTTTTCCAGAGGGTATTTTTGGCATCAATATGGCTACGCTTCCTCTCATAGTTCAGTCCGCACTTGCTTTTCTCAGCTGTCTTCTACGTCAAGTGTTATTCTCAAATGAAAGCAGGTGGAGGTGAGCTAACATAATGTGATTCTCCACCCAAACATATGTTTTTAGTATGAAGGATTCGCCATCCGCAGGTTTGAAAGGTGGATCTCAATTTTCTCTCAAGATTTCATATTTCCTGAACCACACCTCCTGTAACTTTTAATAATCACTGTTTCTTTCAAACCTGCTGAGAGTGAATTTGATACTGAAAACATAGATTTTGAGCAGGCAACACTTTGACCTACCCTGGGGTCCAAAAGCAGTCTCCAACGTTTGCACCCCAGTGTACATTAATTTATTTTACACTATACTAAGATTATTATATGGATACAACAAGTAACCACACAGGAGACAAAAGAAACAAGACAACACACTTAGGCAAATTAATAAAGTGCTAATGGACACTAATGGGCATCTAATCAAAAGAATTACAATTACTAATAATATTAATCAGATGTATAATAACCTTTCTTTCATTTCAATTCAATTCTGGGGTTTTGTAAAAGTTCAATAGAAAACATAACTCCTCTGCAGCTAGAATAATGCAACAGTTGTATAAAGAGAAGCTGATCTGAACTAAAATGCTCTTCACCTTATTAAAAACAACTATTCAAAAAGGGTGCGTATAAATCAAAAAAGAACATTAACAAGGGCTTTCAGCTTTGAAAAATATTCAAGATTACATTTTACGAGAAAATGAGCAATGAATAACATGATCTCATGTAAATGTCCTGATCTGCGACAGGGAAGAAAAAAATCTCCACTTACGTGAAGCCATATCAGCACCGGAGGGCCAGTGAAGGAGGACTGGACCGGCAGTATACACCAACTGAAATCACATTTACATAAACAGGGTATATGACAGGTTTGCATCCAATACAAGGCTCCACATTGTGCTCAAATGGAATCGAGCAAAATAGCTTACTCTCTTATTAAATAGTTTAAAAAGGAATTTGGGGCTCCAAACATCTTAAAATATTACATACAGAAAATGTCCAGACACATGAAAAATACACAGAGTACAAATGGTTCCCTGTTTCTTACAGTGTCTTTGTCAGCATATGAAACAATCCAAGAGCTTTTTGGATCTTTGAATCTCAGTGGGAACATGTTCTTTACCTCGAATCTCTTACAACATTTTAATATCAAACTTGTGATTTGAGAAACTTGATCACTTCATATTGTTGTGCAGTTGCAATTGGTGAACAGTGACAGGATACTGGCTTCCTTTAACATGCTCATCCTCTTCTTTCCACTGTGCTACAACTCCTCCCAATGTGACTCACATGCTCTTCCAGGAAGTCACTGAACTTAGACCTTGAGTGTAACTCAGTAACCTGACGACTGCTCGCAGCGCTGCATTTGAAATCAGTGTGCGTATACTGCCTACTTTCTGTCCTTGTTCTTTACTCCTACAACCTCCTCAGTGTCCCTGTAGTTGAGGTCCTCCTTCGGTGCTCCGGGCCTATAGGTGGAGTGGTCTGTCTAAAGTACAGTCTGATATTTTCTTTTGCTTTTTGTTGGTTTTGTACAATTAATGTCTTTTCAACTTAGTCAAGAGGTTGAGGGTCAGCTATGGGCATGGTGTGCAGAACTTCATCCAGTAGCTGCAGAGCTCGGTGTAAATGGATTTCAATCCAGCAGGGTGTCTCTTTAATGCTTTGCCGTGGGTAGTCGGGCCCCCAGCCTTTCACGAAGCTCATCCGCAGGATGCACAGCCTGCGCAGGTCATCAACCCCGATGCCTGCAGCAGCAGACAAACCTGCAGGGGAGTCACAAGCAGCAACCTTTAGATCAATGTAGCACTATAGGCCAAACCAAAGCAGATATATGTCAGCAAAGTTACTGCTGTAGTTAAAGCTGGAACATAAACCAGACACAATGTCAAATAGAAAATGTACTACTGCCATTATAAGCACATCTCCCACTCAGATCGAACCACAAGTTTTACTGGATGAAATGAGAAAATCCTAAAACCTGCATAGTATAGCCACAATTTTCCCACTTTGGCTGTATACCTGCACTAAACTTGTCTTAAAGTGTAAATATGTACATTTTAACCTCATTATATAATCTGACAGATTGACCTGAAAAATGTAGTGTAATGGCCATTTTTTACACATCTGGGTCTGTTGGGGATAATATTCAGCCCTGCAGTAAAATATCTGCTTAGTCCTTACAGACTTAATAAGTTAGTACTATAATAAATATTTATATTGTCCTACATAATACAGCTTCTCATTTGGTGAACACAAATGAATCAAGTTGGTTTAGTTTAGTAAAGAAGTTATCCATTAAGAAAATACAGACTTTTACAGCACAATGCAGTGCCATAAAAGTCCCTGATGAAAGTCTGGAGGCAAAATGCCTAAAACGGGACGAGAAGCAATCATAGTAATACACATGCTGGAGGGGAAAGTGCAGCAGATATAACACTCACTGATGGCTGGGGCGATTCCTCCCACTGAGCCGGGTCCGGGAATGTTTCCAGCCACCGCCGCTGCCTGAGCTGCAGCTGCTGCTTGAGCTGTCGCTGCCTGCTGCTGCATCTGCCTGTGGCACTGACGCAAGTCAAACACCTGGCGGGGGACGAGACAAACATCTGATAGCAAGCCAAGATATTGAATGAACACTGAACCATTTGCCTGTCACCTGAACAGGCCAGATTCCCATTTTTATAAACGTTCCTTTGATAATACAACAGAAAAGAGGATGCTCCACATATTTCACTACAATCTTAAGCTTTACTGCATTAACATTAGAGTATTCATTCCATCACAGCTCAATTAGTGGTTTGTATGCAAATATAGCCGCTGCCAGGAACACTACTTTCTGCTGTTCACTGTATAAGCAAGATGCTGCAATCTCACCTTGATGTAAGCACTTGGGTAGATTTTGTGAACTGCATCTCCGGGGGCACGCCCAGCCTCTCGATCCAGGTAATAGCTCTGCACAAACACTGCGTGATCGCTCAAACAGCGCACCCACACATCTCCTTCACCTTTGCACTCCAACTGCACACCTTTACCAATGTGAAGCCTGAGGTCAGAAAAGGGGAGAACTTAGTCAGAGAGCCCTGAGACATGTTATCACGCACACACACACACTGTCATTTATTAATTATACCTAGAGACAGATAATCAATGTTGTCTGCTTGAATCAAAAATATCATATATGAGGTAGAGTACCTGGCTTTTTCTATGTTCTCTGTCCTATGAACATTGCTCAGTTGGCCCAGGCAGAAGCGATCCCCTCCTGATGGATCCACATAGCCGTCCACAGTCACTATTGGACAAGTGGATGGCACCTTAAACGTTTCCCCTACCTGGACATCCATCTCAAAGTAAGCAATGGAGCACCAATATTCTGGAGCTGAGAAAAAAAAGACAAAATGGTTTATATTGATTACAGTTCCAGTTTTCGGATGTGTAAAGGGTAAATATGTGAAGTTTTTCCATCTGTAGCTTGATACTCACCAGGGTGATTGGATATGGGAGGCTGGAACGCTATTTCATTGGTAACAGGCCCTGCAAGATAATGTCAATATTCATTTTGAGCAACTCTGAAACCACTCACACACAAGATGGGATACATCATTCAGATATTAGCACACTGAAAAACCATCTTGGATTTGATTCACACTTCATGTAAGTAATATAATTTGCAAAGATTGTTGCTTGCATAGATATCTTATTATCTTGTTTTCCTTCCACTCACAGTAATGCCCTGTGTGAGGCATGGGTGGGTGATGCTGTAGATGACCATTCTGGTGCTGAGGCACCGCGGGGGTGAAGCTGCTGCTCCTGCTCCAGTTGGGGGTCGGATCTGTAAACATACATTCAAAAGAGTTAGTTTGTTTTTTTAGAATTAATCTTAAAGCCAAACAATGAAAACTTTGTTTTACAATGACATTTACTTTTTTAGGAATTATGTTAACTATCGCATTAATTTAAGTCTGACTGGCAAAAACATGTTTATTCTATACATTTTCCTTATATGTGTATTCCCTGTGAAGTGTCTATTACTTGAGGGTCCAGCATTGGTTGTGGAGAAAGCAGAGGTTGAAGCTGAACTGCTGCTCTCCGGGGGGAGGAGGGTGGGGCTGCTGAAGGTCTCTTGTGGGCCAGGCCTTGACGGCGGATGCTGGATAGTCTGCAGGTGGCTCTCAGAGCTGGAGTGAGATTGCTGGTTATCATAGTCATATTCATCCTTTACCAATAGTGGACCTAACAGAGGATGACAAACATGGTTAAGGCCGATGGTCATTTACAAAAATTAGAAGCAACGTAAAGAGGAAGTGTGGCAACTCCATACCTGAGCTTGTAAGCGTCAGTACTGATAAGTCTGGGGAAAATAAGAATTAGAGTAAGAATAGATCACTGCATCATATAACTTCATTATCAATGAGAATATCGAGTAGCAGGGTGCATGTGTGGTTCTAATAGTGACTAAAGGTGCTGTGGAATGAGGAGATCAATAAAAATAATAAAGCAATAAAATACGTAAAGCATTAATTAAATGAAATAAAATAACCAAAGCAATGAAACAAATCAAATCAATAACCTAAAATAATGTGATCTCATTACAGCTAACAAACTGACTCTCACTTACCGATGCCTGGAGAGACCACCCTCTCGTAGTGGTATGGGTTGACACAAACATTGTCACATTTCAGGTCAAAGGCGTACTGGCAATATTTCACATGTTTCAGTTCATTCTTGTGTAGATCAGGCCACCGCCACAGTCGAGCATAGACAACATGGGGAAAACCTTTACGTCCTGCAACCTAAAGCACAGAGATGAACGTCCAATGAGAAAAGTAGTGCTTCTGTGGTATCTCTCACAATTTTACCAGAGCACAAATCCACTTGGTGCTGTATATCTGTTACTGTACCTGTAGACGTCCATCCAAAGTCCGCTGTATGGTTACACACTTGCTAGGATGCGCTCCATTTGTAGTGATGGCTGTGATAAGGGAATCCAGCTCATCTTTCTTCTCCTTCAGCTTCTTGACAAGACTCTCAATAGCCCGTTTGGCGAAGCTTTCGCTCTCGCCTCCCTGCCGGTGGCACATCAGGCTGTGCACAATGCTCAGGCAGGCGTCATTGCTTGTGGGAGTGTTTGTGATTGACATCTTGCTCCGTAGGCTTCAACCTAGGGGAGGCTTTTCGGTTGTATCCTCTATGCTTTTATCGGTAGAGGTGACACAGTGAAATGATTGTCGATCAAATGCTGCCCAGCGATCTAAGGCAGAGAGAGAAAAACTGGTTGACAGGTTCACACCAAAGTTCACAATGCAGTTGATGAAGCTGCACTCAGGTACAATGAATTAAAACCACTTAGATGGCAGTAAAATAACACTTGATAATTGCAGCACTAGCTATGGTTGATCTTTGATTTAAGACCCATGTTGATACATGTATGGTAACTTGTGATTCAAGTATACAACCGCTGCATTAAAATCATAGATCCATGCATGCATGCATATTTATATGAAATGCAAAACAAATCATTTGTATGGTACAGTCACGATGTGTTCTCTTTTTTAAGGGCACATCGCTGATATTGGGATGAAGATTAAATGAACATGGGGGTCAATGGTCAGGGTTTAAACAGTCATTTCGCAGCTAACGTTAGCCATGATGGGTGTAGAGGCTAATAAACACATGTAGCAATATCCAATCTGAGCAATGCTCCAGCAGTGCACAGTTAAACCCGATTCTAAATATATTGATTACTACAAATCACCTATTCAAAGTAGCACACATGCATTATCGGTATGATTTTTAAAAAAACACACGCAGTTAGTTACCATTGCCCAGCTAATGTCGACGTTAGCTACAGCTGGGTAGCGTAGCGTTAGCTGGCTAATGCTAATGTATAAGCAGGTCGTTTCATAACATGGCGAAAACCAAACATACATTGGTTAATGTACTTACTGTGGTTTCTCGGTGCAGCAGTGTAAGTCCAAATATCGTCAGATAATACGCAGGCAGCTCTAGATACCTAATTTTCGATATGATGTCCAGCCCCAACTAGCTCGTTAGCACGTACCCTACAGCTAACAGCTAAGGTTCATCAACACCCCAAATTCGCTACCACGCGAAATGCTACAGAATCATGTTAGCTAAACGCGCACTCGTTCAGTCTGTATCTGTGTAATACTCAAATTAAAACTAACAAAACAGAGTAAACTAACAGCGTTAGCCGGTTAGCCGGTTAGCCGGTTAGCTGGTTAGCTGGCCACGAAAATAAACAAAAAAAACTCATCCCCACCCTCCAGGCTGCGACTGCGCATGCACCCGTAAAGTGTGACAGGCGTGGCGCTGCTGTTTGTTTTTCCTTTAAAAAGAAAATTCCACAACAGCTCCTGTCTGCAACACATCTCTGTCCATATGTCAATAGACCCTGTAGTTTCATTTACCAGAATATACAGGTTCAGGTATTTATATAGGATTTGTTTTATTGTGTGCTTCATTAAGGTTGTACTGCACCAGATGTTCAGCTTTCTATCTATCTATCTATCTATCTATCTATCTATCT